CGGGGCGCTGGCCCGCGAGCGCTTCAAGGTGGTCTTTGCGCCGGTGATCTGCAAGCGGACCTGTCTCAAGGGCCAGTGTCGGGACAGTTGTCAGCAGGGCTCCAACATGACGCTCATCGGAGAGAACGGCCACAGCACCGACACGCTCACGGGCTCCGGCTTCCGCGTGGGTGAGGGCCAAGGGCAGGGGCTGGGGGGAGCAGGGAGAGACAGGCACCAGCACAGGGCAGGAACCGTAGTGGAGTCTTAAGCATGTGCGGCTGGGAGGACAGACAGCATTGATCTGGGGGCCTAGGACCGCAAGGTCATCAGGGGGCTTGGAGGGTTGGCTTTCTGGGGGCCAGAATTTGGGGACTCCATGGAGGCCTGGACTTTAAAGCTTCGGGTTTAGCAGAGGTTGGAGCTAAGCTTAATTTCAGTTGCTTCTGAGGTGATGTGTTCTGAAAACGGAGCAAATGAGGGTTTTGAAGGATGTGAGTGAGGGGCAGGAATTCTCAGAGAAGAGTTAAATATTTCCCCAAGAAACAAACTTGCTGGAAGAAACAGGAAAAGCCTTCTTAAAACGTCTAAGGTAGGGCCCGCCAGAGGTAGACACCTGCTTTCTCCGGGAGGAGGAGTTAAGGTCAGGGCCTGGAATGAGGGTTCTAAGTGTGTGTGGGGGGTATCGAGGCCTAATAAGTATTGATAGAGTGCAGGACTGGTTGGGTCCTAAGTCTCTCCTTTTCTGTGTCTCCCCTAAGCTCTCAACTGCTCTGCCTCAAAGGCCCTCAGAGTCTATCCCTGCCCCTGCTCCAAGCCCTTATGACCTCCCAATTCAACCTGGAGCCTGCCCCCTCCCCAGCATCTCTCTTCAGAGTGCCAGGCCTGGGGATCAGCCCCAGGGCCCTATGGGCCAGGCTGGGGGAGGTGTCCCAGCAGTAATTACCCTCCTGGACAGGGTAATTAGGCTGAGCCCAGGATGGCACCAGCAAAACAGCCCCTTTTACACATTCCTATATCCACACACGACTCACAGACCTGAGGAACCCACTCACATGGTTCCAGGTCTTCTCGAGATGGTGTGCGTGCATGCATGTGCACATGTGCGTGCGTGCATGTGTACGTGTGTGTGCATGGCCTCTGTGTGGGGGGGGCATGCATAGACTTTGCAGAGGCGGACATGATTAAGTGCATGTCTCAGAGTTGTTGTCTTGGGTGTGTGTCACCAGTCACTGTTTGGGAGTGTATGGGGGTATTTACGTGAGCATGTGTTGGTGTCAGAATGAGTCTGTGCGTGTGTTTGTGTGTGTGAGATGACTGCATGTGAGTCTGTGTGTGCCCAGCCTCCCAGGCCCCCTGGCCAGCTTACCCAGGCTGCTGTCTCCATCCATGCTGCCCACATCCCCCAGGCTCAGCGCCCAGGCCACAGTGGGCGGGTGTCACTGGGAGGTCACTCTCACCGCTATGGGTGACTCACTGGGAGGCAGGAAGGAGAGGATCCTGCCTCCCCCAGCCCAGGACACACCCCTTCTGTCCTGTGAGGCCTGGCCCCATGAGGCCTGGCAGAATGAGCTGAGCTGGACTGGGCTGCTTCCATCTCTTTCATCTTGACCTTCATGGCCATAGATGAGGCCTCTTGGGGACCTCATTGATAGAGTGTAGGCCGGGCCTGGGTGGGGGGTCTGGTTGGGGTGTCTAAGGATGCATCACCCCAACCTTTCTACCCTGGGAAGTGAAGGCAGCCATGGGGCAGGCAGGAGAGGGGGTGGGTCTGGCACGTGAGCTCCTGGCCCCAAGACTGGATGCGCACGTTGGATGTATGTGACAGAGAAACAGACAGAGGTCCTATCCTCTCTCAGCAGTCACTTCATTCATTCCTCCTTCTTCTGGGACCCAGAACTAAGGCCAAGCTGGCCCTGCCCTTCAAAGTACCTTTTATAGTGGGAAAAACAGACATGAATATAACCAAGCGTGCCAGGCAGAGCTGGAGCAGAGGCCGATAATTTAGCAGAGGGAACAGGGAAGGTGAGATACGAGGAGAGGCTTCCTTCTGGGAGGAGCTGTGTCTCGGCTGTATAGAGGCAGGGGAACAGGGCTCTGAGGTGGAGGGAATGTCATGAGCTAAACCAGAGGCAGAAGGCTCACAGGAGGGAGCTGAGTCCTGGGGTGTGGGGTGCACATGGAGAGCAGGGGAATGGCCTGAAAGAGGGTCTGAGCTGCGGAGGGCCTTGGCTGTCCAGGCTCAGAGGCATTGGCCAGCAGGGGCATGACCAGCCCGAGCTTTGCCTCAGGCAAGCCTCTCTCGGAAAGCTGGGAGAGTCAGGAGGCCAGCAAGGGTCTGGGCAACAAGGCCCAGCCAGGGGAGGGGTAGAGGCCGTGGGGAGGAGGGGCAGTGGATTCATGGGACATCATGAAGGCTGTCACTGGGTGGGGCCGGAGTGAGAGGGATGGGGCCTCAAGGCTCAGTTCTGGATGAGTGGGCAGGCTGGGGTTTCCCAGTGGTGATCCCAGGTCAAGAGGAGATGGGGCGGCAGAGGCTGAGTTCTGACAGTGCCCTGTGGGGGGAGGTGCCCACGAGAGGTCCAGAGTGGTTGGGGGCTGTGGCTGTCTCTAGACGTGTGGACGTGATTGGCAGTGGCGAGGTGCGGACCTTGGGATGGGAAGGCACAGGGAGGGAGAGAGGGGGAGAGTGAAGATATGGCTGAGGCCCGAATGAGGGGGAGAGTTTAGTGGAGAAGAGGAGGCTCCAGGGAGAGATCAGATACCCAGAAAAGGCCGAAGCAGAAAGCCAGAGGAGGGAGAGGCTGTTCCATCACGATCATCGTCATTTGTTACAGCTTATTTATTAGGCACCCTGCGTGTAGCAGGCACCACGCCAAGTGTCCGTGCAGGCATCAGCTCATTGCATGGATGCAGCATCCTTACAGATGGGGACACTGAGGCACAGGCGGGGGAAGTCGGTTGCTCACTGCACGTGGCCTGCCCAGGATTGAAGTCGAGATGCACGACTCAGAACTCAACATGAGAATGAGGATGTTGGGGGACCTGGAGAGGCGGAGAGGACATTTTCCACGTGGGATGTGTTAGGAAAACCAGCTTCCCAGGGAGGACAGAGCTAGTGGGTGGCAAGGAAGCAGGGAGGAGACAGGATGTGGGTGAGGGACTGGCTCTGGGGGCTGAGGGCGGGGTCGCCAGGCCCTGATCCATCTCCCCTCCACAGTGGTGTGCCCTCTGCCCTGCATGAACGGCGGCCAGTGCTCCTCCCGAAACCAGTGCCTGTGTCCCCCGGACTTCACGGGGCGCTTCTGCCAGGTGCCTGCTGGAGGAGCCGCTGGAGGCGCCGGAGGCTCAGGCCCAGGGCTAGGTCGGGCCAGCGCCCTGTCCACAGGCGCACTGCCGCCACTGGCTCCAGAGGGCGAGTCTGTGGCCAGCAAGCACGCCATCTATGCTGTCCAGGTGATCGCCGACCCTCCCGGGCCCGGGGAGGGCCCCCCAGCCCAGCATGCGGCTTTCCTGGTGCCCCTGGGGCCAGGACAGATCTCAGCGGAAGGTAACAAGCGATGGGCAAACCTGGGAAGCCCGATGGGTGGGCCCTAGGGTGGCTGCACGGAACAGAGGCCAGCCTTGGAGGAGCTCAGTTGGCGACTCGCAGTGCGGGCAACCCTGAGGCCACCGCGCCCCGCCCCCAGTGCAGGCCCCGCCCCCCGTGGTGAACGTGCGGGTCCACCACCCGCCAGAGGCTTCAGTCCAGGTGCACCGCATCGAAGGGCCTAATGCCGAGGGCCCAGCCCCCTCCCAGCACCTTCTGCCGCACCCCAAACCTCCCCACCCCCCACCACCTACCCAGAAGCCCCTGGGCCGCTGCTTCCAGGACACGCTGCCCAAGCAGCCTGTGAGTGAATCCATATTCTGGAGGGTACCCACCCTTGGGTCTTTCAGGGTTGCCCTATCACAACTCCGGATGGCTTAAAAACTGGGGATGTGCAGGCTGGGGGACGAGAGAGGGAAGGGAGAGGAGGGGGTGGAGAGGAAAGGGGGGGGAGTGAGTGGGATGACTACTCTGTAACCCCTCTTCTCCCCTCAGTGTGGCAGCAACCCCCTCCCTGGCCTCACCAAGCAGGAAGACTGCTGCGGGAGTATTGGTGCTGCCTGGGGCCAGAGCAAGTGCCACAAGTGTCCCCAGCTGCAGTGTGAGTGCCTGGGCTCGGGGTGTCCCCCACAAGTGGGCCCACACCAGCCCTGGGGGTCCCCAACCCAGTACCCACCAGATTCCTCTGTACATCCTGCTCAGCCCCTCCCTCTCCTTCCCTCTTGACAGGCTCCTAGTGTGTCGTGTCCCCCGTGTCCCCATGCTCTCCTCTCTCTGCAGACACAGGGGTGCAGAAGCCAGGGCCCGTACGTGGGGAGGTGGGAGCCGACTGCCCTCAGGGCTACAAGAGGCTCAACAGTACCCACTGCCAAGGTATGGCCAGCCAGGGGACTGTGGGCGGGAGGATCACTGGAGGAGGTCCCAAAGTGGACGAGGGGGCCGGTGGGGTTGGGCCAGGACCCCGAGAGTTTCGAGCAGCTTGCTATCACCCTGTGGCCCCATGCTAGAGGGACCAAACCTCTACTTATCGTAGACATCAACGAGTGCGCGATGCCAGGCATGTGTCGTCATGGAGACTGCCTCAACAACCCTGGCTCCTATCGCTGTGTCTGCCCACCTGGCCATAGCTTGGGCCCCTCCCGTACACAGTGCATTGGTGAGGCTGGGGTGTGCTTGTTCCCGGGAGGTCACAAGGCATGGGTGGAAGGGGTATGACTCCAAGCAGCAAGGATCAGAGGTCACAAGAGATCAAAATGGGGTCAAGGTTTGACTGAAGGAGGAACTAGACCCAGAGCAGGGCAGAATAGGGATTAGGGAGGTCAGAGGTCACATGAGATTGGGATTAGAGGTCATGTGTCAGTAATTACATGAAGCCAGGGTCAATAGGGCTTGATGGGTAGGAGGGTTGAAGCTCAGAGCAGCTAGAATCAGGGGTTAGCAGTCACATAGGTTTCAGGGGTCACATGAGACCAGGGTCCTGTGAGGTCAGAAGCCACATGCGCATCAAGGGTTTTCTGGGCCAGAGACAAAGCCTGGGGCAGGTGGGAAGAGGGAGGCCCAGATGCCCACTTCCCAACTGCTCCCGCAGCAGACAAGCCGGAAGAGAAAAGCCTGTGTTTTCGCCTGGTGAGCCCCGAGCACCAGTGCCAGCACCCCCTGACCACACGCCTCACCCGCCAGCTCTGCTGCTGCAGTGTCGGCAAGGCCTGGGGTGCCCGGTGTCAGCGCTGCCCGGCAGATGGCACAGGTGAGGCAGGGACCTGGAAACCTGGGGTGCTATCTGTCCGGAAAGCAGCTGGGGCTATCTGTCCAGGAAACGCTCACGTCCGTGTCCACTGTCTTGACTATAGCTGCCTTCAAGGAAATCTGCCCAGCTGGGAAGGGGTACCACATCCTCACTTCCCACCAGACACTCACCATTCAGGGCGAAAGTGATTTTTCTCTTTTCCTGCACCCTGATGGGCCACCCAAGCCCCAGCAGCTCCCTGAGAGCCCCAGCCGGGCGCCACCAGCTGAAGACACAGGGGAAGAGAGAGGTCTGATTTGATTCCTTCTGTTCCCTGACCCATGCTGGACCCCTAGGTCTGATCCCTGGACTCCTGATCTACAGATCTGACCTTACAGTCTAACCACCCAACTCCTAATCCCTGACCCAGCCAGACATGACCCTCTGATCCCCAGGCTTGACCCTCTGACCTAGAAGTTTGACCTTGAGCTATAAATTCCTAAACGTTAATCTGTAACCCAAAGACCTTGCTTCCCAGACCTGGTTCCCTGACCACTGTACAAACATCCTGATCAGGATCCAACCCCTCCCTAATCCACAGATGCGATTGTTGATCTCTTAGGGACCCTAATTCCCAGATGCCGATCCCAGACCTAACTCCCTTCCCCATCCCAACACTTAACGGACCCATCTTCTTCCCTTTTAGGGGTGACTACGGACTCAGTGAGTATGAGAGCCCACATGGGAGAGGCGGGGAGGCAGGGGAAACACACGGGGAGGGGTGGAGTGCTCATGCTGCTGTCATCCGCAGCCAGTGAGCGAGGAGCAGTCAGTGCAGCAGAGTCACCCAACTGCCACCACTCCTCCTGCCCGGCCTTACCCCGGTGAGCTGGGCACTGCGAGGCGAGGGCTAGTCCTCAGAGGCTAAGTCACTGGGCAGGGGGCGGGGTAGTTCACAGCTTCGGTACTGCGGGAGGTGAAACTGGGTGAGAGTGCCCAGCTGACGGCTCACGGGCCCTCCTCCTTGCCTTCTGATGGGTGTGCGCTGCTGCCTGCAGAGCTGATCTCTCGCCCCTCACCGCCTACTGTGCACCGATTCCTGCCTGACCTGCCCCCTTCTCGCAGTGCTGTAGAGATCGCCCCCACTCAGGTCACAGGTAAGATCTGCCAGCAGGACCATGCCCCACACAGGCCTCGCCACCAGTGGTCTTTCTCCTTCCTTTCCAGGCTCGTCATTCCTTAGTCCTAACAGGCTAACACTCTGGGAAGCCCCACTGTGAGCACAGATCCCACCCTGCCCTCAAATGACCCAGGTAGTACAGTGGTTAGCACATCCTGATGCCTGAGCATTCACTCATTTATCAAATCTTTATTTGACATGTGCCAGGCATTGTGGGGGTGCTGCAGATACTGCAGTGAACAAAAGTAGACAAGAATATCCTGACTTTGCAGAGTAAATAGACAACAAACATAGCAATAAGTAAAAATCTAATAATGTCTACGGGATCAGTAGTTGGCATAATAGCTATGTCGCTGGACTCCCATGTAGTTGACCACGGTTCGAGTCTGGGCCCAGTGGCTTAAACTCACGCCTGGCACGTGTGTGTGTGTCCAAGATCTGGTGAGGGGAATGGAGGAGAAGGGATTTCAGTGTGGCCATCCCCCCTGGGGGGGGGATTTTCACTTTCTGTCTCTTTGTTTCTCTCTGTCTTTCTGGTGAGCACACACACCCTATAGCAAAAACCTCTCCAAAAAAAAAAAAAAAAAAATCTAGGATGTCTCATAAATGCTATGAAAAAAATAAGAGAAGAAAAATGTCTGGGGGTTGTGATAATGTACGGGGCCTGCAGTGAGAGAAGGGTTTCTGAGCAGAGATTTTTTTTAAAGTTTTATTTGTTACTATTATTTTTAATTTGATCAGAGAAAGATAAAGAAAGAGAAAGAGAAAGTGAGAAAGCAAGTCACCAGGTCCGGGACTCAAACCACGATCAGCCATGTGGGAGTCCGGCACCTTAACCACCATGGCCCCTGCTAGCCCTCTGAGCACGGTTTTAAAGACTGTCAGAAATTGAAGAGTGGCAAAGCAGAGGAGAGATGGGCATGCAGGATGAGGAAAAGGACATTCCAGGGGAAATTGAGTTTGGGCAAACACGTGGAAGTGTGGGGGACACTGGTGGGGAGCGGAGAAGCCACACACAGATGAGATCAGTGTTTCTAAGCTGGGGGAAGCCAGGGACACCCAGCCTTGTCAAGAGACTTGGATTTGACGGGAAGTGTCTGCATGGGTTTGGGCATCATAATAATTGCTAGCACCAGCTGAGCAATCTGTGCCAGGCACCATCTAAAGAACTTCGTTACAAACTATCATTTAACCTTCTCATTCTCTCCGAAGTAGGCATTGTTAGCCTCATCTTCCAGATGAGGACACTGAGGCTCAGAGGCTCAGTATCTTCCCCCAGGTCACACAGAGCCAGACTCAAACCCACATCTGTGTGGGCTCCAAAACCACAAGAGAGTTGTCATCCCGACTGAAATCCTGAGCCTAGATGAGCTCCGGGCATGAGGGCCCAGGGGAAAGGTGACTGCCCTGGTCTGTGGAAATATAGAGAGTGAGGCACCTGGGACGCGTCTCACGGGAAGAGGTGTTAAGGAAGCCAAGGGAAGGGTCCTGGAGGCAATGAGAACAGCCTGCAGAAGGCCCCTGGCTGTGCGGGATTCGGACAGAGTAGAGTTCAGCATCGTGGCCCAGGTTGCATGGTCAGGGGCGAGGAGAGCTGGGCTTGGTGACAAAGCGGAAGGGGGTTCCTGCATCTGCACACCTGGGTACTGTCGTGGCACAAGTTAAGACCCCCAGGAAACCAGCTCTTGCCTGCCTTGGGAGGGTGAGGTAAATAGCCATCCTGGAATGGGGGCCCAGGTTCCTGGAGCAACGGGAAGAAGATATCGGTGTGACAGACTACAGGGGTTAAGGCGGTTAAGGTGTTGAGGTGACTGGGGAGAATGGAGTTTCAGAGATCCTTGGGAGGGGTGTTGGAATGACTGAAGGCCTGGAGGGAATGTGGTATGAGGTGAATGGAGTCAGGATCTCAGAGTGGAGATGAAGGATCAAGGGTCCTGGGGTTGGGATGATAGGAATGTCAGGAACCTGGGGTTTTGGTTTGAGAATACCTGAAATCATGATATTGGGGTTATCTGGGATGGAAGCATAAGAAATCCTAGGGTTGTGGTTTGGGAGTGCAGGATCCTTGAGGTTGGGTGTGAATGGGCTCAGATACCTGGAGCAATAGGGCTGGGTTGTCTGGATCATTTTGGGGTATGGCAGAAGGTGAGCGTTCCCCGCTCTGCCTCCTGACCCACGCGTGACCGCAGAGACGGATGAGTGTCGACTGAACCAGAACATCTGTGGCCACGGAGAGTGCGTCCCTGGCCCCTCGGACTACTCCTGCCACTGCAACCCAGGCTACCGGTCGCATCCGCAGCACCGCTACTGCGTGGGTGAGCGCCTGGCGGGAGCGCGAGTGGGTGGCCCAGGGGACTGGCCTGCTCGCGACATCCCTTTGACGTCTCTTGGCCCGCTCCTCCTTCCCAGACGTGAACGAATGCGAGACCGAACCATGCGGCCCAGGGAGGGGTATCTGCATGAACACCGGCGGATCCTACAACTGCCACTGCAACCGCGGCTACCGCCTGCATGTGGGCGCTGGGGGGGGGTCACGGC